GCAGAGCTAGGACACTCTGAATTAGGAAATTAAATTTCCTTTCTAGCATCCCGATCGTGTCATATTGGAAAACTGGAGTCTCACAGGTCCCAAAAAAGTGTTGTTTTCTTTTGTGTTTTGTTGCTCCATTCCACTGAGAAACTGCTCAGGGAAATATTGGCAAATAGAGCCCTTAGAAACCTGCAATCAGGGCCGTTCAGTGGTGACGTTTCAACAATCTATTAAGTTAAATTAGTCTAGTCTATATTTGAGAGAATTTGTGCGTCTGTCTGTCTGTGTGTGCATCTGTGAGTCCGCTTGTTCCTAGCTCCTAAAAAGTAAGAGCTAGGACCACCAGTTTGGTGTACAGCTTCCTCCTATATCTGAAAGCAGCGTAAGGGTTTGGTTGTGCCAGGACAATGGAATGTGTGTAGAATGCGATGTTTCCCGTCAGACGGAAAGGGGTGTTGGGGAGCAAGTGCCACAGCCCCAGGAAGCAGCCACTGGCCAGACTGTCTCCCCCCCCCCCCCCACACACACACACAGCCACCAGCTCTTAGGAAAAGCCAGCAGGCAGGATGTGTGGACTCCTCCATGGACTGGCCCCCCTCCTTCCCTGATTCCCGCCACACCTCCCAACCCCTGTCCTGATTCCTGCACCCTCACCCTCTGCCCTGAGTCCCCCCCTTGCTTTGACTTCTGCAACCCCTTGCCCTGAGCCGGGGGAGCCCTGACTCCTGCACCCTCCACTCCCTAAGCCCCCTGCTCTGAAGGACCCAAGCAATGTCCAGAAAGTCTTCTAGTAAAATATAGTTTTGTCCCAAGTGGAGCATTGAGCTGACAAGCTGTGAGTGCCTGTTGTAACGTCCTACAGTGTACGCTGTGCAGGGTCTCCAAACAACCACCCTACATGCAGGACTTTGTTCTCCAGATGCAGGGTCTGACCCTGCAAGCTGCTGGAAAAAGCCAGGATTCCGGCTGACAGCTGGGGCTTTTGGAACCATGCTGCATTGCAACCTTAGGGCATCTCTCGACTTACTGGGAGATCGGCGCTGCAGCGATCAATCCCCCCCAGCGTTGATTTAGCAGGACTAGTGAAGACCCACTAAATCAACTGCTGATCACTCTCTCATTGGCTCTGGTACTCCTCCAGCATGAGGGAAGGGACCAGAGAGATTCCCCACAGTGGAGACCCTGCAACAACTCAATCCATGAGATGTCGGCTCCAGCTACGGTGTCCGTGTAGCTGGAGTTACGTAGCTTAGGTCAACATTACCCCGTAGCGGAGACCTGACCTTAATTCCCAGATGGAGAGCTGTTCAATCTCCGTGACCTGTTGAGTCCTGTGCTGCTCAGATTGCCAGCCGGGGGAGCATCTAGCACCCTGGGTGTTCTTACTTGTCAGTGACAGTGGTCCTTAAGCAGGGTACCACATACCCCTGGGGTGCCCAGAGCTCTTCCACAGGGCTCCTCAGCTCCTCTCGATGTTGGGCTAGTTTCATGACAGGCTACATAAAAGCACTAGTCTAATCTGCACAAACTACAGTTTCGTACAGACAGTGACTTGTACGGTAGCAGAGACCCTTGCCCTTCACAGGAGATATGTTCTCGAGAGAACCACAAATGCCCAAATTAGGGATGTACAAGACAGGAGATATGTTCTCGAGAGAACCACAAATGTCCAAATTAGGGATGTACAAGGTTAACCAGTTACCTGGTAAACCTGCAAGACTCAGCCGGCCGGAGCGGTCCCAACCCGAGGCACCGTGGGACCCTGTCAGCCAGAGCAGTCTCCTGTGTCTTGGCAGGCTGGCTGGACCCCATCCGCATGGTTAACTGGTTAAATGATCACAATTAGATCTTTTCACTGGTTAACTGTTTTAATGGGTATTTACCTCCCTCTTGCGAGTAAGGCGGAGGGGGGAGGGGTGTTCCCAGCACAACACAGCCACATTTCCCATATACAATGATGCAATGGAGTAATACTGACATGGAACAATGCAGTGAGCGCATGTAAGATCTAAGGGTATGTCTGCACTACAAAGTTAGTTCGAACTAGCGGACATTAGTTCGAACTAACTTTCCTAGGCAGCACTCCGTTAGTTCGAATTTAATTCGAACTAACGGAGCGCTTAGTTTGAACTAGGAAAATCTCATTTTACGAGGATTAAGCCTAGTTCGAACTAGCTAGTTTGAATTAAGGGGTGTGTAGCCCCTTAATTCGAACTAGTGGGAGGCTAGCCCTCCCCAGCTTTCCCTGGTGGCCACTCTGGCCAACACCAGGGAAACTCTTCTGCCCCCCTCCCGGCCCCGGACCCCTTAAAGGG